TACTGTACTTAAGCACAGTTTTTAAATAATTTTACTAGATTTTTTAAAAACTAGTTACTGTATTTACATAAAATTTCCGATCTTTTATTTTCCCTTAATTCTCTGTATTTGTTACATGTTCTGCACCACAACGTCAAATTCTATGTGTGTGAAAATACTTGGTCAATAAACCCAGTACTGAATCCGATTCTGATTACTTCCACTCCACTACATTAAAAAGAAACACAATCATAGTGTTTACTTCACCACAGTCCTCTCAGGGCTTACGCTATTGTTCGTGTTTGTTAATGTAGTTTGCGTCTACTTTGTCCCTCCAACACACTGTAAAATGACACACTGGTCTCCTGTAATTTAAATTGTAATGACAAATTTGAGTTGTAAAGTTATTTATAACTAAAACATATCAATACAACACATAAAAAGTTACAATTTCTTAGTCTGGCACTTGATCATGATTCACACATGTGTTCATAATTTGATTATTGTCAATACACTTGTAAATGTTTTATTAATAAGTGGAAATCAGACAGTTTTGGCAAACCACATTAGACTTTGAAAAAACAGCAGCTACAACCTGTCAGTCAGTGCATTGTTTATCTCAGTAAAGTCAACCTGCCTGAGCTCGGAGGGGGCAGAATGACCACGGGTTTTTCTACACTTCATGTTTTTTCCGCAGGCATTTCTGTGTGTGTGTTTACCTGCCAGTTTGATGCAGGGCACAAGGGTTATAACTGAGGGACTCTTTTTAGCGGTCACTAGTTTACAAAGGGGAAGCTAGCTGGCACCATCTGCTCCTGAAGTCCAACGTTATTTGGCACAGTCTTGGCCAATATCCAATCATGCTTGTTCTACACACACACACACTCACACACACACACATAGACATACACACATATTTGTGGGGGTCAAGCTACCCTAAACGGCAGGCTGAGAGCAGATGTCCATCAGCCTTCCCAGTCCGGTTAATTAAGCATCAAAACCAGCAAGGAGACAACTCACAAACATGCACATATATACACGCTGACGCACACACACACACAAAATACTGTACCTGCCAATAAGACAGCCCAACTGCTGTTTTTCTTGTGTTAATGTTTAAACATTTCACCTCTGATGATGCATCAAACTGAAAGTTAAAAACAATCTAAATGACTTCTATTGATAGGTTGACAAACTTCTGTTGAGAATCTTCTGCAACAAGAGCAAGGAAGCTGACTTCTTACCTGCATCCTTTACAGTGCAAGCAGGGGCCGTGCTTTCCGTCTTTGACGTTTTTTTTAATACATATTTTGGCGGCTGAGAAAATCTGGCAGCCATCTGTCAGTTTGAGACAACCCTGACCACTTGGTGGCAAAAAGAGCGTATTAATCAGCCATTGTTTGTCTTGATGAATGACAGTTAGCTTCTTTGGATTAATGTCACAGCAGATGAGTGTGACATGGCCAGTGGCGATGAAGGTGTAGATGATAGAGGTGAAAAGTCAAGAGAAGTCAAAATGACAAAACATCCCAGCGTTTTAGCCTTTTGATTGTCTTTAAAATATCACTTCTTCATGGCAATGGAATAATTCAGAAAATAATGAGTCAAAAGTAATCAAACTTTTTTAGGGGTTGAGGTTATTTGTGTCATATTTTGCATCCTCAATTTCTTGGAAAATGTATATTAATTTTGCTTTAAGTTTATAGATGTCTCTAACCAATTATTTTGGGATTTTGAACAAAACTAAATACATAGTGTAGGAAAAGTATAAGATCACTTCTTCGATCGCTTAATAAACCCTGAAGCTTTTGTGGAAAAGTTTTTAAAAAAAATAAAGTCTTCAAGTCAAAGGTGGAAACTGGTAAAGAGTCACAATTTCACTATGTACAACACTGGATAATGTTGCCCATCATAGAATTTAATCAGTCTGGTTCCTTGGCATAACTGACAGCTAAGTGCTTCAAAGGGGACTTCAAGAATGATGAGAAGAAAATGGCATCCTTCCAATTTAGTTTATTTTTTGGTCTCAACATGTATGGTCACTATTAACTAGAATTTCAAATTCTTATCTTCACATATACCTTCACACTATCTTAAAGATTTCATGGTAAGATGTTACTCCCTAACTTTTCTTTCATTCACCTGGCAAAATGTTTGCCTAAATTTAGTTAAATTTCGAGCATTCTTAAAATAATATAGTTTGGCTTTCATCAGTTCATCAGAAGCGACGACAATCTTTAGGCTGTGCAGGGTTTTTTTTTCAGCTCAGGAAGGTTCTGGTTCAGGAATATGCAGAATTAGTGTCTGTGGACTATCTTCCAGATTTGTGAGTAAAGGCAAAGGGATTTCACAATGATATTCTGTTAAAGAGGAGGTGAGATAATGAATAAAAATAAACTAAATCAAGGGGTTGAATTAGCGGGAGTAAGAAAAAGGGATGAGATAGTAGTAAATATTAGAATCGGACAAGAGTTGTATGCACAGTTCCATGTTTATGCATTCTGTGAAGAAATGTGAAAATAGGTTAATATTGTAACATATGGTATTTCCTTAACAAGTAAGTAAAACGTAAACCTTGGATAGACATAATTTTGACAAAGAAAATGTCTTCACCTTGTTTTAAGCCTTAGGAAAACCAAAAACCAAAAAACACTAAAAAATAACCATGAAAGGAGTAAAATATATAATTTCTCTTATCTGTTAATGCTTAACAGCCATTGACACAAACCCCACATGGAAGTGCTCAGGAATACCTGCACAATTATCAATTTTGCCCCTGCGCTTCTGCACTGTCCATTCATGACTGCTTTTCATGGTCTCTTCTTTTCTCTTTCAAACAGTGCTCTTCTCATTAAACACATAGAGTTATCCAGTTTGGTTGTTCTTGGCCTAGCAGCCTCGGCAATTGATTATAGCATCATTGTGGCTGGTGAAGGGATTCAGTGTTTCTCCAGCTTTTGTCATCGCAGCAGGCTACAGGGTGAAGTAAAGGATTGTGTGATCCAATGAAGCGTGCTGTTATCAAAAACTTCAACCCCAGTCGTGGAACTGACATCATCTCATTGTCTCATCAGAGAGCAGCATGGCACACTCTGGGTCGGCAAGCTCAAATTTCACTGCCAAGCCATATCCCAGTTTAGTTTATGTTTATAAGACTTTGCAGAGCTACTAACCACGGAAATTTAGAAAGAAGAAATTCAACTCAGGGTGGAGAGATTTGGAACTCTTAAAAGTTTGTGTTTAGCAATTAAAAATACATTTTAAAAAATCAGCCTAAAAATCATCCAAATTTGATCTTGTAATATTCCAAAATAATTTAATATGAACCGTCAGCAAGCCAATTCAATGCTATACAAGTCTGAGATTTTATTATTGGGCTGCACGGACATTTTTGTGAACAAGTATGAACCCTGCACATTAAAATGACCATAGTTGTAAAGATTTTAAAAATGTTCAAATCAAAAACTTGATTTTCCTAATATATGCCCTGAATGTTAACTTCTTGGGACTTGTTTAATAAGATAAAAAGTAACATATTTTAAAAAAACTAAATCCTATATGACAACTGCTGTTGGTATGTATGATGATTATTTACCATTTTAAGTAAGCACGTATGCTACCAGTTGCAAAATGTTATGGTATCCTCTGTGCAACGTCACATGATTATTATACTGTTACCATCATATATGATTGTCTCTATTTATTTATTTTTATCATAGAGAAAGGCAAACACAGCAGACCCAAAAGATTCACAATTCTAATCTATTCCTGAAGTGGAACTCTGCTACCCTCTACTGGTGAAAATACATTCTGTATTGACAGCTCCTCGCAAGCTTTACCCTTTAATATTTTTATATGGCATTGATGTCACATCAGCTTTTAGCATTTTCACAACCTGTCTTTTTAGAGGCATGTAATGAATTAGTGAGTTTCCATTGATTGTAACGGCACAGCACCAAGCACAGACGGGCTCTCCAAAATAGTTTCACTTTAACTCCCCCAGGACCACACAAAAGGCGGGAGACATCATAAACATTTCCTATCTCCAGTTTTTTCATTTGATTTGGTTTCACTTTGGTTCTGTATAAGCCAGAAGTAAATGTGGAGAACCATTTGGAGTTAATATATGTGTAGAATGAAAAAGCATAGAATGTTTGGCATTGAACTCCTTCATCTTTGGGTTTCCCCTGGATTCGGACGTCATGTCATTTCTATTGAAAAAAAAAGTCTATTAGTGAGCAGCTCCTGCTCAAAAATAGATCAAAATATGAATGCTGATTGTTCTTTCTTTTCTGAAGGGTAACACATTATCTGTGAAAAGCATTCTCAAAGAGACATTACATTTCCCACGAGGAACAAAAAGCACATCCATCAAAATGAATGTGGAGTGTTAAAAGTTTGCATCTTTCATGAAACGGAGGCCAAATTACACTGTGATAGAAAACAAAGTCGGATAGCACTGGCTAGTTCCAGCACGAGGACTAGATACTTACAGGTGATATAGTTCTAGGTATAAAGTTTGAAGTCGTGGCAACTTAAAAGTCACTCGTCAAAAGAGGTTATGACCTCCAGTCTTTGGATCACATGTTAACTTTTCATTATCGGCCTTTGTTACACAGTCTGAATTTAAGTCGGGTTGAACGGTGATGTGATGGTAAGTACCACGGCCTCACAGCAATAAAGGACATAGTTCAAATCTTGGCTGGCTGGCTGACTTTTTGTGTTTTTTTTGTGAAGTTTGTTTCTCTTTGTGTGGAGTTTGCACGTTGTCCCTGTGTGAGAGTGGGCTGTCTTTTGGAACTACATCTTGGAACTCCGTGTGTGGGTTAACATACAACCCCAGAATTTGAACTGCCTAATTTTTCTCTGAGTGGGTCTGTGATGGACCGGCAACCTGTTCAGGGGGGCACCCCACCACTCGCACAATAAAAATAGCTGAGCTCTGTTGTAGTGAGTGGAGGGATGAATTTAAGTGTATTCAGTTATATTAAAGAAAGAAATCAATAAAATAAAAAACACGGACAAATGAAACATTGCTAAGCAAAGAATTTATGAATTAATAAAACATTCCCTTTTTAGTGTTCTGACAGCTTTTCCCTCACTGATTCTGTCCGGTTTTATTTCCTTACGATTTCAAAACATAGAAAAATATTTTTGACAACATTCATTGATACATTATTGGAATATGATTTTCAATCCAACTTGTTGCGCATTTCCCCCTACACCTCCACAAATGTACCCACTGATCTTGTTCTCACATTTATAACCAGTCCTCTTCAACCTTCCCTTTTAACACAGGGACAATGGAGGATGCTTTGCATAGATCACAGGGGAGAAATGTCCGGTGAAAAGTAAAAGCTTAAAAAAAAAAAAAGAACATTCCAAACACGGAACTCTAGATGAGCACTGCTAATAAACAATGATCAATATGAACATATGTTATAACAAGCATGATGTTTTCATTGCAATATTCAACCATAAAAAAATGGATGCTTCTGCAGTGTGATGGTATGAATCCTTATATATACCCCAAAAAATAAAAAAATAAATAACATGCTTGTAATTTAACCAAAACTACACAAACGTTTGTCTGGCTACTTCCACCAATTGTGCTGTCGGAGTGTAACCACAAAAAAAACAAAAACGAAACAAATATAAAAACAAAATCAAATGGCATCACACCTTATGTACTGATTCTTAGTTGTTGGTTCTCATTACCAGTCAGAAAATCAGTACTTGAAAATGTTGCTTAAACAGCAACCGGGAAGCGAAAAACACCATTGAAAGGCCAACACATCAGTGACAGAAAAATGCGAACAGCATTTTAATGGTTTCAGTCATAATTGAAAATAACACAGGGGGGGGGGGGAGAAAAGATTAATAAAAGTGATAACTAAACATAAATTAGTGTTGTTGTTTTCTTTTGCATGCTATGGCCCCATCTGCATTACTATCTGAATAGTGACCACAAATATCTAATTGGATTTTTAAAATCTAAATCTAGAAGTATAACCTGCCCACTGAGACTAAAACTCCATGATCACCAAGACATACAGAGAACAGGAATGGTAGTTAGGAGGCTAAATGCAGGAGCATTTGTCCACTAACTCAATCAGATGGAAGTAAACAGTCTTTGTGAAACCTGCTCCTGTTGCCACCTCTTGCTGCATTAAAGTTAAACACTAAAGTGTTATCTACCTGTTATTTAACTGCAAACTTAGCCTTAAATAATGTGTAGAATCCTTTAACAATTATGGGTCAAATTCTGTAGAAAACTGACATGATGACAGCTGTGGCTCTGCCATGTGTACAATTTTGGCTATGACAAGGTGAAAAGGCCTAAACTAGTGAAAGGAGATGAAAATCTATTGGAAAAAATTTCAATTATTGACATAATGGCAAGCATTTGCTATCGGAAAAGATTGTTATTTGTAAAAAGCTGGGGCACAGGTGATTTTAGAATGTCTTAGAATGTCTTTTTCAATCTTTTTTTTTCATAATTTCCAGGCAAAAAACAGAAAATACTTGAAACTATTCCGGAAGGTACGACAGTAAAATAAAGAACAGAGAAATTGAACAGTGAATATTTTGTCCTGGCAAAACACTCAACTTCATTTGACCTCAGATTACACAAAACAATAAATTAAATGCTGATTACAACGGAAACACCTTCATGTGCACATTTATACTTGGTACCAAGCAATGAAATCACTTATCGAAATTAATGCTAGTGTTAAGATAATAGCAGCATGTCAACTTCTAACATGAAAACCCTTGATCAGTTTACCCACTGTTAACTAAAAAATGAAAAATAATAAAACCTAGATAACTTATATCAAACTTAATTTGCAGCTAAAAAACTAAACTCTGAAATAAACAACAAATACCCATGATATTCTTTTAAAACATAGTGAAATGTAATGTTTTACATGTTATAAAACTAATATTTATAGCTTTTAGAAGTCGCATCACCCTTTGGGAAAACAATCATTCTTCAAAATCATATACACTATAACACACATGCTGACTCCCAAAAGCTGTTGATATATATATGTCGTTTTTTTTAAAATGTGCAAATTAATTAGACAAACATTTAAAACAATAAAACAACATTAACTACCCCTGCTGATGAAATGGACTCATGCGGATGCCTCAGTACTACTGAGGAAAGAAAAATGCTGCCAGCTTTCTCTGTTGACACATAGATGATAGACTGACTGAAGATCACACACTGTTGAAAATAGTGTGATAAGCTTGATGTACAAAAATCACCAAAGTCATTGGTACACTTATTTGGTGGTTGCTGAGGACGCAGCCTATTACGTCGCATGAGAAGCTTCCCCGCAAATGGAGATGAACAGAATTCTAGCACCTCTTTCTTTTATCTCTGGCTTTTACCGCCACATTACACCATCATATTTATAGGTACGAGCTCAAACTCCCAAATCTCATGTGTTTGAGATTTTTGCACGTATAGAATGCAAATATAATACATACAATGCAAAAAAAATCTTAACATTTACAGTTTAGGGAAATTCTCCCGGTTCTATGAGTATGTCATAGTAATGTTGGTACAAAAATGTAATTGCACTCCTATTATAATTGTCTGTGTTATTGCAGACAAACTATATCAGTGACATGAAAGTCTCAGTGCTATTTGTCCTCTGGTGCAATACAAATCCATAAAGTTTACATCTTGAAAAAAAAAAAAATCAAATAAATGGACGCCCATTGCTAATTTTGAGGAGTCAATTCTACTCTTCTACCTCCTGACTCTGAGGAAACGGCAGAGAGATGGCATGCTCTTGCGCCAAAGCAGCAAGCTCCTTGAGGAACTCGCAGAAAATCACAGTGCAGTAGACCGCGTTTTTAACCCGCAGGGCCTCCGCTTGCTTTTCAATGCCCGACGTGCTTGTGTTGCTCCGGAAGAAAGCACTGTGTAGTGATTGACTGCCATCCCGAACATGTGCGAGCGCTAACTGAGCGGCTTGTCGAGCCCGCGTGGGACTGTTGGTGTGACGAAGGATCAGGTCTCCAAGAGATGGCTTACGACTCTTCACTGAAAGTTAAAATATCAAATATGAGACTGGGGATGAACTAAAAAAAAAAAGGTAAACAGTGGACTGAAGTGTTTTTTCAGAACTTGATTAAAAAATAAATAGTACTCAGTCTCTTCCATTTTGTTAGATGAATCTGTAGCATCTTTAAACATAGCAAGGACACTGGGATAGAATAAATGATGAAAGAGTTATGGTTAATGTTTTTATGAAACAGCTGCAGGACAGTTACTTACAAAAAAATGTAAGTATTTCTTGGTAAAAGATATAGGCAAGAAGTCCCCTAAGACAAACGGGTGCAAATCTTTGGGTTGGTCACCTCATCTGACCAGAATATTTAAGTCATTTTATACCCATGGCACTACACACCCCGTGCAAGAGGTGTCAACAATTAACCTTTCATTATGGAGTAACGGAAAGTGAAAAAAATCATTCCTGTTCCTACAAAACAATCTTTTGGTCATTACTGGAATAGCTAAAAAAAAATTGAACTAGCTAAATGTTTCATCTGCCCTATAAAAGATTAGATCAAATAAAACACAAATACGCAAATGAAAAACTACAAACTATAATGAAGTTAGATTTAAACTAAATAATGGTGATAAACTGTGATATTGTTTACCCTTGATAAAAAGAGAAAAAAATGCCAACTTAAAAGTTCACTCTTAACATGGTTCTCATTTGTCCTCGATACCCACCGAGTGAGTTAGAGCGCCGCAGGGTGGGAACTGCTGCTGGCGAGTCCATCCAGTCCACTTTACTGCGAGCCACCAGGTACTGCTGGGCTTTCTTAAGCATAGCAGGGAAGTCCTCGTGAGCTGCTGCAAAGTCCTCAATCCGGTTCTTCACAGAGCCTAAAACCTATATGAGAGAAGAGGAAAGAGGTATAATAATTTGGTTCGTCTTCAAATAAAAGAACAAAAAATGCTGATTATCTCATTAGTGGATTTCTTTTTTTTAAAAACAGGCTGAAGTCATTCCTAGTTGGGGCCAATTTTATGGCATTTCCTAAAATTTAATTACTGTTTAATTCACTTTGAATCGATTACTGAGTAATTTGTCTTTGAATGTAAGATGTTCAATGATGGTGGCATCATCCATCTTTTTTTATGTGATCTGCAGGGCATCTTGGCAGTGCATAAGAAGAAACTGGAAAGACTTATTAGAAAAGCCAGCCTGGTCCTGGGATGCTCACTTAACTTCGTGGAGGAGTTAGAAGAGAAGAGAAGAGAAGCGGTGGCCAAGCCATCATCTCTGATTGACAACCCGTCCCACGTCCAAAATCTAATGTTTAGTGTGCAATTTTATATCCATTACAATCAGCGCCACACTGTAAATATACTGGCAGGCCAAACAGCCCCAGAGCCTCACTTAACATTACGTTGGCTTACTTCCCTGTATGTACCTCTATGTTTTACCTGTGCTTCAATCCGTACCTGCGGAAATATTCAGTATGTTTGCTGTTTTTTTTTGCATCCCCCTTTATGCAATTTTCTTGACTGCCATTTTTTAACATGCTATGGGATGTCAATGCTAACAGTTCAAGCACTTTGTGTTCGATCTCAAGCACACTTGATGCAACCACTGATGCATTAATTAGCTGCCGGCTGTCCTTGAGATAAAACACTAATATGCAAATGTATGGGGGCTGAAAATCATCGAGCTACAGTAGTCATTAGCTACAGTAGTCATATGATCTGAGAGATTACCAAATAACAGTCATGATGACACTGCTGTCTTTCTGAGAAGCCATGCGATTTTTGTCAAGTCAGTTGCATAAGTGCTCCTCTAACTGTGAACACTTAAAAAGGCGTTGGTACTCAGAAAAAGCAAATGGACATGGGTCATTGCCTTCTCGTGAAGATATGTATAGTTTTACCACTTAAGTCTAACAGAAGTAATGTTTTCAGCGTCCAGTGTGGCTTAATGAGCAATACTATTCCACGTTTTGTTGGGCGAAGTGTACCTGGATCAGTGACTTTACACTGGGCTGGAAAACCATGTTGGTGTTCAGCAGGAAGGAGCGAAGGAGGGGCTGAGGATAGCAGGCTAATTGGGCTACGATGCCAGTGAGCAGGATGTTGACGTACAGTGAGTTTTGGAGCATGTTCTCCAGTTTGGAAAACAGAACCACCATGAATGGGCCTGCGGAAAAAACTGAAAGGTCACCAAACACAAACATGCCATGTGTTACTTTAAAAACAAGTCTGTAATGCTAAATAACCAAGTTTACATGGGGGTTTATACTCTGTGCCTTACAAACTTGGAAAATCCTCAATCTTTGATAAATTCAGTAATTATAACGAAAAAACTATGCATCCTAATTAATAGAATGAACACAACAAAAGCCTCTTGAGGTTTTGAGTCACCCCCATTTATCTACACATTAACATAGAAATAGGTAAGAGTTACAGTAATTAATTGAAATGGGTTCTAAACATTAAGGGGAATATCAGTTCACAGAAGAGGTATAATTCTAACAAGTTGTATAATTCTAACAAGATGCATAATTCTAACAAGATGCATCTGTGAGATTGTGTGTCAAGTCTTTGCTGAATTTTTCCCATATAGAAGAATATTTTCAGACAAAAGTTTTTTTTAAGCATGACAGGGTTTTAGCTTGGGTGTTTTTTTTTCTTTTAGAGGTCGCAATGTTTAATTATAGCAAGTAAAAATGGTTGAACATTCAAAACGTCCAAAAACAAACTTTGGAAGGAAGCCTAGAGAAATATTGAGTACGGATCTCTTTAAAGATTAAGAAAAGAAACAAATACTCATATCAATAACAACAATTCTTAAAAAAAAAAAAAAACAATCCTCAAACATGAAGGACAATTAGCAGGTTTTTCAATATGATGACTCTTACCTGTGTATGGCTGGGAGACGGGCTGGTTTAACGGTCTTGCGGGGCTAGAGACAGCCATTAAAGACGCGCCTCCTTTGACTTCACCTGGCAGCTTTGCCTCCAGGGATGTCGAGAGCCGTTCTTCCTGCTGCCGCTCAGAGGACAGGGATTTTGGTATGGTTTCCTCCTGCTGGCAGTTGACTTTGCCGAACCCTTTCACATGGTCCTCCAACTCCTTCAGCTCCTGAGTGAAGGCCTCAATGCTGATGCCCTGACCATAGGCCTCTCCAGGCAGCTGTTGGTCTCCTGGTACATGTTCAAGCAGCTCTTCGATGAGACTCTCCACAGACTGCTGTGTTTGGTTAGTTTCAGGAAGATCTGAGGCTGTGTTGTGTGGCTTTGAGTTGTCACTAGTCAATAGTTTGGTATCGTGTGCTGGTTGGGTGACGGAAGTCTGAGGAGGAATCTGGTTAGAGCAAAGAAATCTTGCATCACTGATGTCACTGTCACTAAAAACGGATTGCAGAAGAGCAGTGGACCTTTGGGAGGAGCAGGTGACCAGAGCACCATTTTGATTGGCATTTTCATTAAAATACTGCTGGTCTCCCAAGTCTCTCTTAACTTTTTTAACCTCCAGTCCTCTTTCACGGCTGTCTAAGCAACCATCCCCTTGCCTGACTGAGCCATTATGCATGGCCTGGTAGCTCACAGTGATAGCAGAGGTGGGAATGTGTGGAGCTGGGGATGAGGTGGAGTTCGAAGTTGATAAAGCTGTGGCTGAAGAAGTGGATGGGATTTGAAGATGCACTGGTTTAGGAAGGGGCTCCTCTCGTTGCAGGCTGCGCTTCTTGGAGCGTGGCGTGAGACTGATGCAATTATTTTTGCCAATTGTAACATCCCACTCACCACTGTCCTGCTCAGAGCTGCTCCATTCAGACCGCGCTGCTGCTATGTTGGCTGCTCTCCGTTGGCCCGGGGGCGTATTACTAGTGCCTCCCTGCTGTAAAGAAAAGTGCTCAGGGAACATAGCCATTGAGGCATTGGAAGTAGCGGGAGGTGGAGGCGGAGGAACTGCATTTGGGGATGGGTTTTCTCCATCATAGGGTGCCGACCAATCACGGCAGGCCCAGGAGCAAAGCTCGATGCCCTGGCGGGCATCTTTGAGATACTCCAGATAACCTGCATCCCAGTCTAGACAGTCTGATTGGGTTTGCTTGTGCACCGGGCTGTCGGGGTACTGAGGATGGAAGCTTGATGGACCTGAATGCAGCTGCTCCATGCTGGTGGGGGTAGAAGCCCCACTTCCACCGGATCCACCTCCACCGCTTTGTTGACGGATGAAGAAAGACAAGCGGGATGGGGTGCTGGGCCGTGGTGGAGCTGAAGACTCAGTGCTGGGACTGTTCAGTACTTAGAAATATATAAAGACACAAATGGAAAAAAAATAGTTAATTCACCTTACAATAACTATAATCAACAACGAGCAATACAGTTTAAACCGTGCAAGACCTATATATGTTTATTTGAACTTATAGTGTACAAGCATTAAGTCAGGGGTCCCTTTTCTTCACGTCTTTGGTGCTCACCTTTGCCCCAAAATGGATTGTCATCATCCCGCTCAGCAAAGACCCCTGTGCTCAGCCGGCAACACTCGGGGATCAGCGACAGGAACTTATCTGCTGACTTTCCATACAGGTCAGTCTCTTTGATAGCACGACGCTGACTCAACATTACATGAGTACAGGGTAGCAGATACCTGGGAAGCAAAACACAAAATCTTAGCATTTATGTGTAGAAACCAGTTTAAATTCAGACAGTAATACCAAACTTCCTGGACTTTCCAATGACCACAATAACAGAGAAGTAAATTATTGATGCACACATTTAAATTACTAACTGAATTAGTAATGTGAAAAAAATTTTTTTTAAGAAACACTACAAACTTACCTGAGAATGAGCTGCAGCATCACATCTTCACAGTTAAGGGACAGAAGAGTCCTGAAGAGACTCAGGGATACCATACACAGCTGCAGCACAAAGACAAGGACATTTTCTCAGTAATTCGGTCATTGCGCACAGGGGTGACCTACATATGAAAACCAATGGCCCCATATAACAGCATGGTAATAATTTATAACAAGGTATTTCACAAATCTTCAGAGCACAATTTTCCTTTCCGCGCCTTAATGTTCCATATTCACATTCTGTGCCAATCAGATGCTAACATGAAGCGACACACCAACTGTCTGACCAAACATCTTCTTGCTTCTGTTTGAGTATTACCGCAGTATTATCTGGCATTACACAACAAATACCGCAGAATAGTTTTTTGTTTTTTTTGTCTACAACTCAGAAACCAGCTGCCAGCTTTGGCCCCTTGGCCCTCTGGGTTAATATTAGGGCACTTTCACAAGCATACACATATACACATGTACAGACCCTTGAATTGCTGCTGATGCGTGTGAGCAGGGTATCCAGGATAGTGTCATTGTCATGGCGATGAAGGAGGATGAAGCGCAGAAAGGTTTTAAGGAGGGACGTTTCTGTTACACTGCGTAAGAAAAGATCCAGGTAGGCGGTACTGGCGATCATCTCGTCAACTGATGACTACACGCACACACACACACACACACACACACACACACCACACACATAAAGCTGTTAAGATGAGGAATAAATAAAATCCTCAAAACATAAACAGAGCTTGAAAAAACTGGCCAGTTTGCAGTCTACTCCTTCACAATTTCAGTGAAACAAACTAACATATCATGAACACAATGCTACTAATTAAAAAAAAATCTGTGGCAATTTAAGACGGATCATTTAACTTATTTCCAATAAAATGAAGTTCCACTTTAAACAACTCATTGCATTCGTACCTTATGCAGGGCGGGACCCATGACGGGTACAAGGAAACCGTTGTGGAGGTAGTCCAGAAGCTGAGAGCGGACTATGGGATGCGTAACCTGGACAACAGCGTTGCAAAATTCGAGTGAATTCATAAAGAGCACGAGTGAAGATACGCCTAACCAGTCTTCACGTCGCAAGGCATGCCAGTCATCTCCTCGAACTTCTATCTTCCTGGGCAGAGAGGAATATAGGGCACTGAGGCCTGTTGCCAACACCTGAGAAGAGTCACACAGAGGCTTCAGAGACTGAAAATACAACAACAGATCAATGTTGATCTCTCTCTCTCTCTCTCTCTCTCTCTCTCTCTCTACCAATCCATACATTCAATCCTATTCACGTCTGCCCTTCTATCTATCTATCTATCTATCTATCTATCTATCTATCTATCTATCT